GGCACTGTGGGGAACTCACGTCCTGCTGTTTTGATGCTTGCTTCTGCTCTAGCTGCTTCAGTGCCCCCTCCAGCCGCTTACTGCAATGGAATGTTTTTGGATGTAGGCATGCGAATGTATGTAGTTACATGTAGATGCATTTAAATGTATGTAGTTACTTGTAGATGCATGTAAATGTATTTAGTTACGCGTTGATGCATGTGAATGTATTTTAGTTACGCGTTGATCCATGTGAATGTATTTTGTTACGTGTTGATGCATGTGAATGCATATAGTTACGTGTAAATGCATGTGAATGTATACAGTTACGTGTAAATGCATGTGAATGTATTTAGTTACGCGTTGATGCACGTGAATATTGTAGAGCACAGGTGGCGAGACACATGGGAGGTCAGTAACACATGGCATGGTCACATGGCATGGTCACATGGCATGGTCACATGGCATGGTCACATGGCATAAACACATGGCATGGTCACATGGCATAAACACATGGCATGGTCACATGGCATAAACACATGGCATGGTTACATGGCATAAACACATGGCATGGTCACATGGCATGGTCACATGGCATGGTCACATGGCATCGTCACATGGCATGTCAACAACAGACGCATGGTCAACACCCCATGGTGCCCTCTTGCGTTAAAACTCCGTCCACAGCAACCCTCCACCCCTCACCCACCCAATTCCCCACACCTCCCCCCTTTCTCGCCCTCTGTTCCCCTCCCGCCCGCACCCCCCTCTCCACTCACACACTCATACTCCACCGGAGTAGATACATTCAACCTGCTTCCCCACGTTCGCCAGGTCTTACCAGGTCTTGCGGCACGAGCTCCCTCTCACGCAACTGCCATGCACAGCACCTCCCCCCCTTCTCCCTCCCCCCCTGTTCCCCCCTACCCCCTCCATCCACCCACACTCACACTTCACTAGAGATGTATTCCAGCCGCTTCCCCACGTTTGCCCGGGCCTCTGCCAGGTCTTGTGGCACGAGCACCGGGCCTATCAGCTTGAACACCTTCGCATCCTCCTCTAGTAGCTCCAGCTCCTGGCGAGGAAGGAGAGGGAAGAAGAATAAGACTTGAACCATGGGGGGGTTAGAAGGGTCTTGTGGCACGAGCACCGGGCCAATCAGCTTGAACACCCTGGCGTCTTCCTCTAGCAGCTCCTGATGAGGAGAGGGAGAGAGAAGGGACGGTGGAGAGGCGAAGGGCGGTTGAAGGGTGTCAAGGCTTGAGGCACGAGCACAGGGCCAATCAGCTTGAACACCCTGGCGTCTTCCTCTAGTAAATCCAACTCCTAAAAGGAGGTGTGGGAAGGCGAGATAAGAGGAGAGGCGTGGGGGGTAGAAGGGACTTGCGGCATGAGCACAGGGCCAATCAGCTTGAACACCCTGGCGTCTTCCTCTAGTGAATTCAACTCCAGAAGGGGAGAAGCAGAGAGAAGGGATGGTTAAAGGTGGAGAGGAAGGGGAGGTGAGATGCGGGGCACGGTTGATACCATATCGTGTCGTGAACACCACCCCAATCATAGCCCTTCAACACAATCACACCCCACCGTTATCACATTCCACTAGAGTCCCAATACCACATTCCGTTACAGTCACAGACTTGCACCACCACCCAATGATAGCCCTTAACCGTAAGCACATCCCACTGGTATCACATCCTGCTGCAGTTCCAACCAACACCACCACATTCTGTCACAGTCACCCCCTTTGCCCCCCATCTAGTCACATCCCAGTCAAGTATCGCTGAGCCGTAAGGATCCAATCTTATAACGAAGTAGCAGCAAACGGGAAGAAACACATACGCAGCAAAGAAACGAGACCGTAAAAAAAATCCCAGACCTTTCTCGCTTCTAACAGTCACCGCTTTTGTACCATCTCGTCACATCCCGGTACAAAACCGCTCAGCCGCAACACGTACCACACTCTCCAATGACCGCCCATTATAATCGCCTCCCACTGTTACCACACCACATTCCGCTACAGTCACACACACCTTCTGCACCATCTCGTTCTCGTTCAGCTGCAGGCTGTACTGCCGCCGCACCTTGTGATTGCGTGTGATGTCTGCCGAAGGGGAGGGGGAGGGGGAGGGGGAGGGGGAGGGGGAGGGGGAGGGGGAGGGGGAAGGGGAGGGGGAGGGGGAGGGGGAGAGGGAAGGGGAGGGAAGGGAAGGGAGAGGGATATGCTAGACTAGAGGTGCCTCTTCGATCCTCAGCTGCAGGCTGTACTGCCGCCGCACCTCGTGGTTGCGCGCTATGTCTGGCATGGGGGGAAAGGAAGGGGAAGGGGGGAGAATAGGGAGGGGGAGGGGGAAGAAGGAAGGGGGCGGAAGGCGGGTACTAGAAGTGTTTGCTTGACTCTCAGCTGCAGGCTGTACTGCCGCCGCACCTTGTGATTGCGCGCTATGTCTGCACGTGGGAAGGGGAAGACGAGCGGGAGGACGAGGGGGAGGGAGCAGGGGAGGGCAGGGAGGAAGTGGGTGGGGTGGGGGAGAGGGGAGGTGCTAGAAATGTCTTGTCAATTCTCAGCTGCAGGCTGTACTGCCGCCGCACCTTGTGGTTCCGCGCGCTGTCTGCACGCGACAGGGGAGGGCGGAAAAGCGCAAGGGTTGGCGGGGAAGGAAGGCGAACGGGGGAGAGAGGGACGGGGGAGAGGGGAAGGGCGAGAGGGGGAAGATGGGGGGAAGAAGATGGCGGAAGGGAGCTGTATGCTGTGATGCATCTTGCCGCATTTCTTTCGCGTGTCGTCTGTGAAGAAGACAAGAGCAAGCCACGGGAATCTTCCTGCCCAGAAAATAAGAATGCTGATCTACGGTCGAGATTCAAACAGTACCCGGAAAACGGCGATCCGATTCGTTTTTTTCCGAATTGCTACGCGAAGATTAGAAGGACCAGCAGAGAATTCGAAATCGTCGCGCTTACCCTTCTCGAGGGACCGAAGCGCGTTCACTTCTGCTTCCAGCTGCTGCTGCAACTCTCGCAGCGCCGCCGCCATGATCCTCCCGCAACGTCGACGAGCAGGTTCAGCAACGACCGCTCCTTCGTTTCCGTCGCAAAGTCTGCTGCGAAAAGATCAGCAAGCGCTATTCGCGAATCTGCCGCTGAACAGGGAGTGGATGGAGAGGGACGTTGGGTGTGATCGTGAAATGAAGGAGCTTCCATCTCGATACAGAGTACTTTGTTAATGGATGGCTTGAGAGTAGTTTCATTACGGCTCGATGGATGATAGAGGTTTCAGAGCGGTGCAAATACGTTCTGTGTAACGTCTGTGTAGTACAGGATTCTAGTGGGGGACTTCGTTTCAGATGTGGCGAAATTCGCAGAAGAATCTGCTGCTAGTTCGCCAAGAGTAATTCTGGGGCTTTTTAGGTTTTCGCAAGCCGAAAAACTCGCTGACAAGGTAACCACGAAGTTCTTCGTCAAGCAGCAAGGCCCGCCCAACACCTCAGAAGCCATGGCTGAGAATTCTCATGCGGCATGGTAGCCGTAGCTTGCTGATCTGATTCAGCTCAGCTCACACGCACTTCAGCTGATCTCACGACCGCGGTCGTATCACCGATGTGCTTGCTGGGTCGCTCGCCCCGCGATCCCGTCTCTCTGATCCCAATTTGTCTCTCGCATCGAGAAAGTAATCCGTCGATCTAATCCATTCCTGATTCCTCGTCCTGATTGCTGCGGGCAAAGGCGCAAGGGTATTCGAGCAAAAGGGGCTTTATTCCTCTGCGTGTTCGGCCAGCCACAGCAGAGAGGCGCATGGTGTTTTTGAGAATTCTAAAAAGCACCCCAAGATGACTGATAAATCAACCCGAAGGTCGTTCCGGCCATGGATCGTCGCGCCGCTAGTGCCTTTTTGACTACGCTAGTTTACCTATTTAGTCTTTCCTCGGTTCTCATGCAAGTATTGATTCAATTTTAGGTGTAGATTACAGTCCGAGCCAGTTCCACCCCATTCGAGCGTGTTTCAGCCATGAATCCCGCACCGTTGGGTCGAGTCGCGAGCCGGCCGGCAGCGATAGGTCGCGTGGGGCGAATCCGGCTGCTGCTGGTGGCTCTGGGCGGCGCGATGATCCTCTCGGGCCTCCGATTCGTCAATCGCACGACGAACCTCGTCGCGCCTGCCAGCGACGAATTCGCGAACTTCACGAGTTTCGGCGAGCGATCACGCGAAGATTCTCCGCGGCCTGCATCGTCATCGCCAGTCGCGTCTTCTTTCCCCTCCTCCTCCACTAATATCCCTTCCGATACAAGCACATCTTCCTCATCATCATCTTCCTCGTCGTCGTCCTCCCCCACCTCGTTGCACAGCACGCCCTCGTTACAGTCACAACCAATCGCAGCCGTTCCACCCACTCCGATTAGCTCTCAACCAGATCAATCCTCAGCCGTCCGATCACTAGAAAACGGCTCTCAAATCTCTGGAATTGCAGTCCGTCCCCCTCCGGCCAAAGATAATACACAAGAAGCTGATAGTAACCCGAGTGGTAACCAGAGTGGTAACCAGGTGGACGCGACAGAGGACCCGGTATTGGCGCTGCAGCGAGCGGTGAAGCCCGAGGGGATTAAATGGTCGTTGCTCGCCGTCACGCCCACCCACGCGCGCGCCATGCAGGTGGGTGGAATTGTCTGTCTCACTATAAGGCGCCTCAGAACAATCCTGCTGTTTGGAAACTCTGTGCCGAGTATTGATTGCGTTGTCAAGTAAAGACGTGGCTGCTGCTGGCTGTCACGCCCAACCACGCGCGCGCCATGCAGGTGGGTGTGGTGCGAGGCTGAAATCCCTTTTAGAGAATTCTCTAGACCCTCCACTGCAATCACCCATGCAGGTGGGTGCCGTGAACCTCCCACACCCTCCCCTCTCTTATTTTGAGTCGACTCAAAACCACACCCTCCCCTCTCTTCCCGCTCCGCGCGCCCCGTTCCACTCGAGCTGAAGATGAGATGAGAGACCACCTTCGCACGCCCACCACGTCCAAAGATGAGATGAGATGTACTTCTTTTGTCTCGCCGCCTCTCTCCCCCCCTCCGCCTCTCCCTTCCCCTTTCCCTTCATTCCCGTCCCCCCTTCCTCCCCCCCACCACGTCCTCTACTTCATCCGCCTCCCGGCCTATCTGTGATCGCTGTGACCCTTGGTGTCCTTCCCAGGTGTAGCGAGGTTGTTTTTGAGACGTCTCACTTTTGATCGACTCAAAAGAGACGTCTCAAAAACAACCTCGCTACACGTGACCCTTGGTGTCCTTCCCCCTTACCACTCCCCTCTCCCCTTCCGCTTCCCAGGTCGTTTACTTCATCCGCCTGGCTGCTTTTCTGCGCTCTGCGGGACCGCTGGTGTCCCTCGTCCCTTACCACTCCCCTCTCCCCTTCCACTCCCCCCCCCCCCCCCCGCTTCCCCTACCCCTCCTCCCTCTTTCTCCCCCCACCAGGTGGTTTACTTCATCCGCCTGGCCGCCTATCTGCGCTCGCTGGGTCCCTTGGTGCTCTGGATTGTCATAGAGGCGCCGCTTAAGGTACACTCCTTGTCGTGCGGTCACCCCTTTGACTGTTGAGTCGACTCAGCAGTCGCTCGCTGGGTCCCTTGGTGCTCTGGATTGTCATAGAGGCGCCGCTTAAGGTACACTCCTTGTCGTGCGGTCACCCCTTTGACTGTTGAGTCGACTCAGCAGTCGCTCGCTGGGTCCCTTGGTGCTCTGGATTGTCATAGAGGCGCCGCTTAAGGTACACTCCTTGTCGTGCGGTCACCCCTTTGACTGTTGAGTCGACTCAAAAGTCGCTCGCTGGGACCGCTGGTGCTCTGGATAGTCATAGAGGCGCCGCTTAAGGTACAGTCTTGCATCCGAACCGCGTTTTGAGTCGACTCAAAACGCGCCGCTTAAAGCCAGGGTCTCAAGTAAGCAAAGGAGCCATCAACCGCAAAGCAGTTGAAGCTAGGTTACCTAGTTAGTGCAGGCGAATTTCTGTTTGGTTGGGTTGGAAATCTACCCCCGTCAGTGCCTCAAAAGCAATTGCACAAGTTTTGAGTACGTGAGACTTTCGACGATTCTGGGGCACTTTAGGTTCGGATCCGAACCATATTTACAAACCTGGAAGGTTCGGCTACACCTAGCGATTTGAATTTGTTTTTTACCCCTCGCTTCACCCCTCTTCAAACTTCACAATTCGCCAACCAATCACAAACAAACTTGCACTGTCAACTGCAAAACACTTGCAGTACGTGAGACCCTGGCTTTAAGGCGCAGTCCGCAGTACGACTCTGGGAGAAACGCTTAAAAACGCTTTTTTCAGATACAGTCCTCGATATGACCCTGGGGGAAACGCTTTTAGATTGTGTTTTGAGTCAATTCAGAACACTTTGAAGGCACTGTGTTTACTCTGAACTGATCCTTGGAAGAAAAACTTTGAAGGTGTTTCCAGACAAGCAAGGTGTGCAGTGCGGTGCCGCTCTTTTCGTGTGATGCTAAAGGTTAAAAGTAGCGTTCTTGTTGCTCCACCTCTCCATCCCTGTCGACTCCTGTCCACCCTCTCAACTCCCGTTTAGCCCTCTCCACCCCTCTCCACCCCTCTCCACCCTCCCTCATGCCTCCCTGGGAAGACAGAGGAGACGGCGGAGCTGCTGAAGCAGCACGCGGGGTCGTGCCTGCCAGCTGGCGACGCCAGCTGTCGGCGAATCAACTACGTCCACCTGGAGACCCGCCGGGTGAGAGGCGGTTGAGCTGCTATGATTCTGTTTGGTTCTGTTCTGTTCTGTTCTGTTCTTGGACATGTTGTTTCCTTGGAAGTGGGGGGGAGGGGAGGGAAGGAGGAGAAGGGGGGGTGCGGGGGCGGGCATGTACACACACGTTCCGTTTTTGTTGATAATATAATTTCAACCTCTTATATCAATAACTTAATGCATCATCGTCATTGTTCCATTCCATTTTGTTCTTTTCCATTTTGTTCCGTTCCGCATTTCGTTCCATGCATCATCAGGTGAACATATCCAATTGGAGCAAGGCAGTGCTGCAGCGGAACGCGTTGCTCTCGACTTGATTGTTGCTGCATGATCCCTAATGTTGCATAGACCATCACTGCGAGTTGTCTGTAGCACTTCATTTCACTGCATGCACTCACCATGCACCATCAGGTGGAGTCATCCAAGTGCAACAAGGCAGTGCTGCAGCGCCACCAACAGCATCCTCATAGTCGTGATTACACAGTTGTGATCCTCATCCCTGCATGCATTTGAGATGAGACGTCTCAAAAGCAGCGCCGCAATCAGCATCCTCATAGTCGTGATTACACAGTTGTGATCCTCATCCCTGCATGCTCGACTATCATCATGCCATGCCATGCCATGCACCGCACGCACTCATCAGATGGAGACGTCCAAGTGGAACAAGGCGGTGCTGCAGCTTCGAAGCTTTCCACCATTTGATTCCATTCCATTCCATTCCTATCATCCTTTTACTGCATGCACTCACCATCAGATGGAGACGTCCAAGTGGAACAAGGCAGTGCTGCAGCATTGTCAACGATCTCCTGATGCTTCCATTCTCACATGCTCATCATTTAACTGTGTGCATGCATGCATCATCACCATCCCATGCACCATTAGGTGGAGACGTCCAAGTGGAACAAGGCAGTGCTGCAGCGCAACACCGCGCTCGACTTCATTCAGGAGAGGCGCATTCAAGGCGTCGTTTACTTCATGGACGATGACAATGCGTACCTCCCTCAGGTGGGGTTGACTCGTAGTACTGCGAAGTGTGATCGTACTGCCACGTGTCTCAAGAGGAGAGGCGCATTCAGGGCGTCGTTTGCTTCATGGATGGTGACATTGCGTACCTTCCCCAGGTAGGACTGTACTGAGAAATGACTGTAATGCGCCGTGACTGCCATTTGAAGTGAGTGGCTGTTGCGGAGGTTTTTCACTCGTGTGTATTTTTCCGAGAATGACTACAAGCACATTAGAAATGTGATTACTTTCACCCTCCCCTGGTACCGTCAATCTCTACTTATTGCTCAATGTTTCCTGTTTCGTTCCGTTTGTTGATAATTCAAGCTGAGAGTTCCATCGTTATTCTGCTGGCTGACTTATGTTCGGTTAAATGCTATTTGACCGCCCCTTTTTTTTCCGAGGACCCCTGCTCTTAAAGCTGCGGTCTACATGCTAAAATGGGTTTTGGGGGGTAATCTAGGTGCACACCCTTTCGCGTTTGTTGATTGAAGAGCGAATTGTTTTCTTTCCCAAAACACCTGTGCGAGGACTTCGCACCCCGCTGACGAGCGCAGTCAATTTCGTGAGTGAGTTCGCTTTGGGGGGCCCACATCCGCGGAAAGGCGAAGATTTCTGCGCAGAACACAAACAACCAAGCGGAAATTTCTGCGCCCATCCCCCTCCTTCCTTCCGCATCGATTGTTCGTTTCTCCGACGGGACAGTGCTACCCTGTTTTCAAGTGATAAACCAGGGCCTGTACCTCGAAGTATGTAGATCGCAGCTTCAACATTCCCTTCACGAATGTCTGTTCTACTCTTGTGTGTCTCGAGTCAAGTTCCTTACACAGCATCCAAAACGTTTGTCTCATGCCTTTTTCTATCATTTTCTCATTGCTTTCCCACAGGCCCAGTTCTTTATCGAGTTCCAGAGTTTTCTCTCTCTCTCTCTCTCTCTCTCTCTCTCTCTCTCTCTCTCTCTCTCTCTCTCTCTCTCTCTCTCTCTCTCTCTCTCTCTCTCTCGTGTTTTTACCTATTGACTCCTTTTGCTTTCCCACACCCAGCTGTTTCTCGAGTTTCAGAGCATAAAAAACGTGGGTGTGTTCCCCGTCGGCTTCCTCTACCCGGACGAATACTCGAGGCGGAACCGGCATATACACCACACGCCCATGGTAGAGAGACCGCTTGTAAAGAGGACGGAGAGCGGGGGCCTGCAGGTGTACGGGTGGGAGACGTTTGAGTGGTTCATCTCAAAGGCCAGGCGGAAATTCAACGTTGACATGGGAGGATTTGCGTTCCGGTGAGCCTTTCTAATGGTAGAGGGGGTTACTTGTCATGGGGTTGAATGGAAAGTGGGAGTCTCTAGATGTTTGAGTGGTTCATCTCAAAGGCCAAGCGGAAATTCAACGTTGACATGGGAGGGTTTGCGTTCCGGTGAGCCTTTCTAATGGTAGAGGGGGCTACTTGTCATGGGGTTGAATGGAAAGTGGGAGTCTCTAGATGTTTGAGTGGTTCATCTCAAAGGCCAGGCGGAACTTCAACGTTGACATGGGAGGATTTGCCTTCCGGTGAGTCTTATGAATGATAGAGAGGCTGCTTGTAATGGGGATGGATGGGGATGGGGAGAGGGAGGGGGGGGGAGCCTGCAGGTGTACGGGTTGGTGGGAGACGTTTGAGTAGTTCATCTCCAAGGCCAAGCGGAAATTCAATGTTGACATGGGAGGGTTTGCCTTCCGGTGAGCTTTATACATGGATGGTCGGGAAGCTGCTTGTAATGGGGATGGATGACAGGGATTTTGCAGGTGTATGAGTGGGTGGGAGACGTTTGAGTGGTTTATCTCAAAGGCCAAGCGGAAATTCAATGTGGACATAGGGGGGGTTTGCGAGTCTGCTTGTAATGGGGATGTAATGGGGGGGGGGAGGTGGATGGGAGAGAGGCGTTTGAGTGGTGTCATTTCCAATGCCAAATGGAAATCTAATGTGGGTATAGAGCGTGTGTGAACGTGTGTGCATGTGTGTGAGTGTCTGTGCGTGTGTGTGAGCGTGAATGAGCGTGACTGAGCGTGTGTGAGCGTGTGTGCGCGTGTGTGAGCGTGTGTGAGCGTGTGTGCGCGTGTGTGCGCACATGTGTTCTGAGGGTGAGGGAGGGGGGAAATTAATGGGGAGGGGGAGGAGAGGGAGGGGGGGGGAGGGGGGGGATGGGAGGAGGAAGGGGAGGGGGTGGGGGGGAGGGAGGGAAGGGGGGAGGGAGGAAGCCAGGCGCACGTGCGGGTGCATGCATGCATGCATGTATTCACGTATGGAGTAAGACACTCCCCCTCCCACCCCCTTTCACCACCACCCCCCCAACCACTTCCACTGTGCTCGTTGCTCCCTACTTCTACCCTGCATGCAGCTCGGAGCTGCTCTGGCAGAACCGCTCCTTTCCTCATTCCCACCACCTTCCCCCTCCCCCTTTCACCCCCCCTCTCCCAGCTCGGAGCTGCTCTGGCAGAACCGCACAGACATGCAGGGCTACCCACCCACACCACCCTGTGCACACCTTTTCCTTTATGCTACTCCCCCCCCCGCCCTCATCCCCCCCTTCTTTCCCTCTTCCCCCCATGGTCTTCCCAGCTCTGAGCTGCTCTGGCAGAACCGCACAGACCTGCCGGGCTACCCACGCCACCCGCTGCGATTCGAAGCCAGCTGGCAAGGGTCAGTCTCCCACTCGACTAATGCATGATCATTGCCCTCTCCCAGCCCTCTCCCAGCCGATTTTTAAGGCACCTCAAAAACCCACTCCCAGCCCTCTTCCAGCCCACTTGCTGCCGTCCCCCTCTCCCTCTCCGTCTCTCTGCCCTCTCCCTCTCCCATTCCTCTCTCCCCTCTCCCCTCTCCCCTCTCCCCTCTCCCCTCTCCCATCTCCCATCTGCGACGACTCCGTTTGTTCCCGCTGCCTTTTCTCAATTGAAGCAATTTTGCCCGTTTCTTTCTCCCAGCCACCCTTGCTGCGGCTTCTCAACTGTTTGGAGCATGGCCCTTCCGTGTCTGCCATTGCTTGCTGCATCCTGCACAGATACTTGTCTAGCCTGTTCCACAAGCCACATATGTGTTTCCCAATCCAAGTGACTCCTCCACATGCCATTAGTGCCACATTTTGACGACTTGATCCTAACCCCACATTTTGACGACTTGATCCTAACCCTGGTACCTTATCACTTTATGTGCGTGGTAATGCCTGTGTTTCTTATACTGAATGTGATTTGCCGACATGGCGTGTACAAGCAGCCAACTGGAAGCCACGTTTTTAAGCCGACTGGTTCCAGATGCGAGTTATTTGGAGCCATTAGCTAATGGATGCACACTAGTGCTGGTGTGGCACCTTCACGTGGAGGCAAACCGGCAACACATGTACCCCATTGGCTGGAGAGTGCCTCAACCCGTTGACCTTGAGCCTGCAGATGAATATGACACATGGCGGTTTATCATTGGTCGGCAAAGGCACCGGATTAGGGGCCTAGGCCCGAAGGACATGCCGTTTACTTACAGACCATAAAAGGAGAGAGGCAGCATGATTGATGCCTTGCTCTTAGAGCTTTGGATGGAAATGAATGATCTTGTGAAAATCTTGTCCCCACACATCAGCCTTCTATACTGATGAGGCTCCTATTCTAATAGTGGGGTCATTTGCACGTGACGGGCATGGTGCAGCCAGCCCTTGGCTCGTCTCATCACACTGGTAACAGCACGTCACAATAGTCATGATTGACGTGGCTCCTGCTGTATGTGGTGAAGTATGAATGATCCAGTTGGCGCTTCTCAAATGCTTGACGACTCCATCCAAAAGTGTGTTGGCAGGTGATGCTGACAGTTTAGCTTGAGTTACTGAAAATGCGCCGGTAATTCAGGAAGAACCGAGCCGTGACATCTGCGCGGTCACACAACCGTGTCGCGTCACGTGTCACACACATTTGACTGCAGCCCACTAACACCACCCCCAGACCCGCGCCGCGTTTCCAGCATTTTCGTAGGCTGGGCCGTGGGATCATTAGGCTTTCGTACGCCACCACACAAAAATACGCCGTACCGTGTCCCACCGTACCGAGCCTTTCAGTGACAGGCAGCTCTCCTTGTTACGTAAGGGAGAACACACTCGCTTACACACACATCAGCTTCATCCAACACCTCACTTCTCTCAGTCACACAGATTAGAGCAATCCGCCTCACGAGCAATCCGCCGCACGACCTTCATCTCCAGGCGAACCATTGATCGGTTTCCGCAAGCCGACAGCTGAGTTTCCCAACCTGTCAAGTCGGAGACTCGTTCTTTACTTACGAACTGTCTCACAATTGGATAGGTCCGAAGTTAAACAGGTCTGACGACTTCCAATGGCAGCGGCCCGATTAGGTTTTGAAGAGTGCTGACACGCACAATACTCCCATTCCGTTACGGTTGCTTACCTTTTGTTTTCTTCTATAGAGTTATATCACGCCTGCCAGAATGGAGCCAGTTTTGACACTCCAGCCTTTTAGCACGAGCAAGAAGAGCTCGGTCTTCGAATCCGGTCAGATGTGGGATGTCGGAGCAATGGTGTTAGGAGGCGTTGTTCCAGGGGTTGTGCTCGTGAAGTGCGTGGCTGCTGTGGGAGCCATCGCGTTCTCGTCATGGTGCGCCGTGGTGGTGGTGGTTGCTGCTGGCCTCCAACAAATACACAGTAAGTTGATTTTGAAGGCTTACTACCGTTGACACCAGTATGTTCGCCGAAGCGACCCTCGTGCTCCTCATTGATCGTGAATAGCGGTACTCAGGCTCCCCTTTTCCCCCTATTTCCTCAGGTTTTGACGCTGACGGCTACGCTCAGCAAGATTGCTAGTTAATGCTCACACGATCTAGGTTCACGCTGAATGGACGTCCGCGATTTTTTCTAGGCATCGCGAGACTAACTTCTTGAGGTGACGGCAGACAATTGCTGTTAAAGCTCGAAGCTGCTTCACCATTTTTCCTCAGCCATTCATCTGTATAGTGGGTTCAGTATTTGCTTAGGATATATCTGGCATGCGCCTGCCAGTCTGTATATGCCTTGGTGCTTTTTGTCTGTGCATAGTTATTTTACCCATGTTTGGCACTGCATCAATCAAGATTGCAGCTGAATGAAGTCTCTTAATGCCTCCATAGCTCGTACTATTGGTAAATGATACTGGCAAATCCTGATGCCCATCATACCGTATCAGGTTTTTGGCATATCTAATACCGGTAGAAAGTATTTTGCCACCTTCTAGTAGGATAATCTGGCAATAAATTCCACACAGGTTGATCCAAATCCCCACATTTCAAACCAACCATCAGCCGCACCACAATTCTACCGTAATGTAAATAAGAAAAGGTCGCAGAATTTCCGTACTGAACCGTAGCGCACCGTATCACGTATTCTCCATTCCCCATCCCTCGGCTTTGCCAGATTCCCTCACCACCACCCCTCCCGCTTGTAAAGCGTATGTTATTCCTGAGCCTCCTATAATTCAGATTCTGCTTGAACCTTCTCATACACTGGCCGTATTGCACCAATCATCCCTCTGCACTTTTCGCGCTCAGGCCAGGTATAATGCATTCGCGTACTTCGTCCTAGCTCTTGAGTCTCGCTGCTCGCGCACAAGCCCTGTGGGGCAAGCAACTTGAAATGGCCGCCATGGTAGCCGCACACTCTCCTTCCACAGTAATAGCTCCGTGGTGGTTTCGTTTGCACCGAGCTTCCCGTTCAACTGTGTTTCCAGGGTCATTCCCCCCCGTACCCACGAGTACTCCGCGATTTAAACCGATTTCTACCAATTTTTACCGGGAATTTCGTATTTACCGGAATCCACTGTATCTCCCAGCGGCGCAAACAGCTCGACAAGATGACATATTCTTAGCTCCCTTATGGGCCATTTGGGTCTTGTTTCATGCGACGTCGTGCGACTTCGAGTAACTTCGTACGGCTTCATCCATGCAGCATGACATCACGGTCGCCACCCGAGGGCTCTGATTGGAGACTGACATTGGTCGCAAACATTTGTTAAGCACCAGATTACGGCGCTGGAACCACTTCTGAGGCGCCTCAAAAAAGTCGCCACTTGAGAGCTCCGATTTAAGACTGACATTGGTCGAAGGCAACTTATAAACACAGAACTACGGCGCTGGAACCAACTGTTACTAGACGCTTGCTTTGGCCAATGAATGCATTCTGAATCGCAGCGTGAGTTTCAAAGGGAGGGGGATTATTTTCTGGAGCAGGCTACGGAACGTCAGGAAAAGTGGACCGCGTCAGGAAGAAGACGGCGCAGCGTGAAGGCATTGTTCCCAAACGCAAGACGCATCGTCATCGGCGTCATTTCCGTTAACAAACGCGAGACGCGTCGTCATGGATCCGCCATCGAAGATCATTCCCGTCAGCTTACGAATCGCGGAAATCGCGTTCGCGGTCGGCTCCATAGGGTGAAGACTTCGGACCCTGACTCAAAAGTCTTTTAACCTGGTTTCTCATTGCTTACTGTTTCCTCTCCTCCTCACTGTACCATCATCACCCTTTCAAGTTAAATTCGCCTGTTACCTCCGTCAAAATCACATAGTTGGGTAATCCACGTTCTTATTGCGGTAATTTCTCTGAGTTCCCGTTTTTATTGACTTAGGACCAAGGTTCTGTGCTTCAGCCTGTGCTTCAGTCTGTACTTCAGATTGAGCTTCAGTCTGTGCTTCAGTTTTCTTTCCCAGTCTACATGACTGACCCCCGCTCATCTCTGCCTGCATCTGCTGCTCACCCACCCGTCTGTTCCCATCAAATTTCCCATGAAGCTCAATTACCGTTCTGAGAATCTGAGACGTCTCAGATTCTTGAACCAGACGCCCGCTGCTGCTCGCCCTGTCCACATGGGTGAATACTCCATCATTCCCGCACCTCACCCACCTATCTCTTCACACCTCCTCACACCTCCTCACACCTCTTCACACCTCATTCCTCCCCACACCTCCACACCCCTCCTCCACCCCTCCTCACCCCTCCTCACCCCTCTTCACCCCGCTGCACCCCTCCTCATCCGTCCCCATCAGGCTGTCAGTAAAGCTGGACCACCGAATGAGCCAGGCGCCAACGCTTCTGCTCAACCTCACCCTGGGCATGGCGGGACTCTTCGCGAGCATGTTACTGTGTTACATCCACACCTCCTGCTTCGTCTACCTCCACACGCCTCCTCATCGCCCCTCACCCCTCTTTACCCCTCCTCACCTGTCCGCATCAGGCTGTCACTGAAGCTGGACGACCGAATGAGCCAGGCGCCCACGCTTCTTCTCAACCTCACCCTAGGAATGGCAGGGTTGTTTTCGAGCGCCATGTTACTGTGTTACATCCACACCTCCTGCTTCGCCTACCTCCACACGACCAGGGTGAACCTGCTGCTGCAGGTCATTGAAAGCAACGTGAGTCCATGCATGCAATAGTTCAAGATGAGTCGACTCGAGTCTAGATTTACACGAGTTGGTTCTCAAGATATGCTCCAAAGAAAGGTCTACGAGATAAAACTTTCTGCTACGTTTTACCTCCAAACGACCAGGTGGCTTGAACCTGCTGCTGCAGGTCGTCGAAAGCAACGTGAGTCCTTTTGAAAGTCTCACGGGTCACATGCGTGAGTCCATGCGTGCATCTAGATTTCACATGAGTCCCACGGGTCACATGCATGAGTCCATGCGTGCATCTAGATTTCACATGAGTCCCACGGGTCACATGCATGAGTCCATGCGTGCATCTAGATTTCACATGAGTCCCACGGGTCACATGCATGAGTCCTCTAATGCTATACTATACTGCTATGCCTGCTCCCAATGCCTCCTCCCTGCTCGTCCCTCCACAGTTCTTTACACTCATGGTGCTCGTCTCTCATGATTACAGCAGTCCGTTCACGGGCCACCATGACTCATTACAACGCGGCTCAACTTCCTCTCCTGCTCCCACTGGCCCCCCTGTTCGTCCCTCTGCAGTTCTTCACACTCGTGGTGCTTGCAGCAGCCAGTGCGCGGGCCACCGCCATCACTGACTCATACGGGCTCAACTGCAGCGGGTATGTGCTGCTGTGGGTGCTGCTGGGTGCAGCTCGGTGCTGCTGGGTGCTGGCGGGTGCTGCCGGGTGCTGCTGGGTGCTGCTGTGTCTACCAAGGCTGATAGGCATGGCACAACAGGCTGCCTAGCTGCCGATAGGTCTCAATTTGTTCTCTCCTGCAAACATGTCGCCCATGTCACCTGCAAGGACTATCACATGCGGTGACAGCTTCCCATGCCCTTCTCATGCCGCCCTTTCCTTGCCCGCCCTTTCTCCACCGCCCCTCCTCATGCCGCCCCACCCCGTCCCATGCCGCCATGCCCATGCCGCCCGTTCCCATGCCGCCCCTTCCCATGCCGCCCCATCTCATGCCACCCCATCCCATGCCACCCCATCCCATGCCACCCCATCCCATGCCACCCCATCCCATGCCACCCCATCCCATGCTACCCCGTCCCATGCCACCCCATCCCATGCTACCCCGTCCCA